TGATATATTGTGCCGCCGCTATAATTTCAGGAAGCGACTCTTCAACATGATAAATGGTCTTCCAACCATTTATGAAGTTGTGACAGGAATCACCAAGAAAGAATCGAGAGAGAAAATCCGTAATAGCAATGGCAAGAGCAACAAGTCTGGTTCGAAGGTGGTCTGAGTGATTGCTTGGTGTAAATTGTCGCTTTATCATTGATATGACAATTTACTTTGTCTCTTACTGGTGTGTACTGCATTGTAATTTCAGCCTTCAAGATCATTTGAGTCTCATGCAAAGGCCACAAAGATGCCTTCACCAAAAGAGGAAGAGAGTGAAGGAGAGGATGTGGATGAGGAAGAGCATGGGAACACTTTATGTGGTGCCTGCGGGGACAACTATGCCAATGATGAGTTTTGGATTTGCTGTGACATGTGTGAAAAATGGTTCCATGGAAAATGTGTTAGGATCACGCCTGCACGGGCTGAGCATATCAAGCAGTACAAATGTCCTGCATGCAGTACCAAGAGAGCCCGACCTTGAATGAACAGGAAGAATGTGTTTTTTGTTTTAGATATATGGGGCTTCAGAAGGAAGAATCATTTTGGATGCAGCGGTTACTGGGACTGCATGCTGGAGTCTCTATGATCTTATCTTAGACTAACTTAATGTTATGTTGGTGTGACAATTACTTGTTGTTTATAGTTATTAGTATTTAGCAAACTGGACCAAGTGAATTGTTTATATTTTATTTTGTATCTGAACAAATCTTAACTTTCTTATGCACTGCTTCCTGTAGATAATCTATTTCGTTGCCTTTGGACATGCTATCTCCGTAATGTATGTTCTATCATCTGAAGTTCTGTTTTTGGTAAACAACTAGTTTCAGCACCATAAACAGTCAATTAATGTGCTAGTAAGGTTCTGCAAACACATATTTGTAATTTGGGCATGCGTAACATCCATGACTAGACCGCAGTAGCCAATTGATGTTAGCGAATTGGTGTTTCAGATTTGTGAACCTTTATATGCGGACCATGTTTTCCTTAAGAATCCTTGTATTGGAGATTCTCATTTTTGTTTTCCCCATCTCTTGCTTATTCGGCACTTGTTGTGAATTTTGTAGTTCATAAAATTATGATTCTTCATGTTCTCTGTAAAACTATGACTGAAGGAAAACTTGTTATATATTTTCCTTCTGTTATTTAGAAGGCCTTTGTTGTAGAGTGAGTGGACACTTCAAAGTCTGGTTTTATTTGGTTCATCAATGTTTTTTCTTTATCTAACAAAACATAATTATTTTTTCATATGATGTTGAACAGTTATAGACCGTAACAAATATGCTCTTTGTATTCGAATTTTAGATTACGTAGGGAGAGTGTTTTATGTTGTTAAAAAACTGTCACAAAACAAACACACTAGGTCTATTGATGTAAATATCTATTCATGTGTTATCAGTATGGCAGTTGTATGTTTCTAATGTGTATGGTTATTGTAAGTGCAGGCTCATGTGAGCTTCTTGAGGACCTATGTGGATGTTCTAATGTGCCATTTTTAAACCACATATGCAAAATTTAGTGTTTCTGTGGCATGTAGACAGTAGACAGATGAGTTATCTTTACTACTTCAGCATCACATTGGTACAAACGTATGCTATCAATTCTATGCATGTTTCTTGTGCATTGGCAGTCATGACTTCCATCAACATCCGATAGTCATAGAAGATACTCTATATGATGGAAGTCCTACCCTTGGCACTAAACTGCAGCTTAGGGACCATAAAGAAATCCTTCCTTTTCCATGTAAGTTAGGTCTCAACCAGATCTTCCTCTAAATAAAAGTTTTCATGTTCTTAGGTAATTCATGCAAGATTGTAGATTTGTTTACAGAACACTTGTGTTCATGACCCTGTGAACCAAATTCTAATGCATTCTATGGAATAACAGATCCAAAGGGCAAGATAGAAGTTAGGCCCTGATCATTACCTATTCCATGTTTCTTCTCATTTGACTTGGTTGATGCAGCTGGAGGTTTGAATGCAACCCATGCTCTGCTGGTGTTATACGAGGTATGCAAAACCAATCTTTTGATTGTTCTCAGAAATGTAGGTTGATTAGAACTGAAATAATTCCTAGGCTACTGTATGGAGGTTCTGCCAGAAGCTTTTTCTAGCCTTTTGATGTTTTATATCTAATACTTAAATAGTGAAACTAAGATGCATAATTATTTTTGCACTGTTTCCATTCAGTGGCATATGTACCAGTGGAGGAGGGGGACCCAAGTCACCAGTTTTATCACACAAACTAATATAGTGTTGCCAATTTAAGTTTGGAACATGGCTTCACATGGCTTTGGCATTGCTTAGAGTTTTGGACATGCATTCTATTGTTGTGTCATCTACTCTATCCTTTGTGTCTCAGCTATGTTTTCCAGCTACAGCAAAACCTCAGGCAGAATATTTATTGTGCAAAATGGTCCCAGAAGAATATGGTGCAACTCTAGGCATGACTTCAAACTGCACAATCATGGGTTTTTTTGTCAGTACATGTTATTTCATCATATGAAGATGATTAGTGCATAGCTAAAAGTTGTTTGACATGATGGCAAAGGGGACTAAACTGCTTCCAGAGGAAACAGATCCATGGTAACAAGATTCAGAGAAGGAATCAGTGTGTTCATAATACAAGTGGACAGATTTCATCTTCAAAATCAGCAAGTGGACAGAATTTATCTTTGTTAGAAAACTATTCTTTGCAACTTGAACATTGATCATTTAGTTCTGGAAGGAGTGATTCTAAATCTATAATCATATAAGATCAAAAATCTGTATGTCATCAAAGTCATAGATTAAGTTCAGTTTCCACTAAAAAAGAACATGATATGAGACTGTATTCCTCTTGACCAGTGTGATGCAGCTAAAATGCCAGTGCTCTTGTCCCAGATTAGAAACACTGCACATGATGGAACATTAAATAGCTGGCTCCTTTGGAGGGGGCCAAGGCAGTGTATGCTTCAGTAAAGGTTCAAACTAGTAAGACATCATGATAGAACTTTAGGACACATAGGAGGGTCCCTGTGTTCTTCAGAAAGGCTACCCTAATGCACTCCTGTGCAGAACAATTCTTTTGAACTTTTCTCAAAATCTCAGACCTCTAATGGTGGTGTGTCAGATATTTGAAATGCTGCAGAGATTGTCAAGATTACTTATTGTTAGTATCTGTTTTAATTAACCTCTGATGAGTAACTAAATTGGTTTATATTGTGCAGGGATGTGCTCAAGCCTATTCAAATGATAAAATTGCTACAAAGAATTTTATTGCATACAACACAAACAAGAGAAACTTGCAATAATATTCTTAGAATTTGAAGTTGGTCACTTTCTATTGAGACATCCTAGTGGTTAGGATACTATTGTTGTATTGTTAATTAGGTCTAATGTTGAGTTCATATAAAAATATATTGTACATTGTTTAATATAATGAATATAAATTAATTTTAAAAATGATAAAAATATCCATTTTTCTTACAATTATGAATCATATATGAATCATAAGCTTAGCGGCGATTAATACATTTAATGAATCGAGTTCAATAAATCTTATTTTGCATAAAGATGATTGTAGATTCTTTCTTTTGCCAATTGATGAACTTTAGTGAGAAAAAAGTCATCAAGCTTTCAAAAAATAATTAACAAAAATATTAAAATGATCTACAGGTGTTTTTTGCGCTTGTAAAGTAGCTTTGGGGAACTTTGCTCCATAAAAAGATTATAATACTTAATCTAACAAAATTTTAATTCAAACTAAAAACTTAAACTTTTAAGTTATTGGCCAAACTTAATATATGTAACCTGACTCTTTCAATCATTAGTGATATGAGATTATTCTCTCAAAATATCTCACACACATAAATATTTCTAATCCTATTCATGTGTGTGAGTTTAGGGTCTTCTCGTTACAATCCAAATTTCGAGTTTATATCTTTTTCGATACTAGATTCACTTATTTGCATCTATCTATAGTAGTGCGACTCAATCTTTATTCACTCAAACCATAGCCTAACTGACTTAATCCCTTTTTTTTTGTTTAATTATTATTATTATTATTATTATTATTATTATTATATATATATATATATATATTGACTCATTCAGATCGGTTTTTTTGTTCATTTGACTCTCATACCACATTAGAAAATTCAAAAAAGCTAAGAGAGAGAGAGTTTGTGTGGGATCCAAGAGAGCAATAGGTGTTAGGTGTTAAGGACTTATCTTATTTCATCGAGAGCCATGATTAAGAGAGAGAAATAACACTGGAGAGAGAGAGAAAAAGATTGTTTAAAGAAAATAATAATAACGTAGAGAGAGAAATAATACTTTTTAGAGAAATTAAGAGTCAAACTTCTTAATTTCCCGTCAAAAACTATGATCATTAGGCTCTCTTTTATTTAATAATATAATTCAATATCAAATTTCTTAATTTACCGACAAAAACTATGATCATTAGGATCCAAGAGAGCAGTAGGTGTCATGAGTTCCTCTGTTTAAGGAGGCCATCAAATAAATAAATAAACAAATAAATAATCCAAGCAAATGAGATGTTCTGAATTAATTCAAGTAGTTCTCTTCAGTCTTCATCTTTGCTTTTGTGAATCTAAAAATAATAATAATTGTGGAATCTCCTGTTCAATGTTCATAGGCTTCTATCAAGGATTAAAGAACATTTAATTTCTTTCCATGTCCAAGATTATTATGTTTTTTCTATTTTTTTCAAGATAATTGTGGTTGATTTTGAATCTTGCTTTTAAACTAAATCTTACATGTTTAGTTCCATTTTTTTTCCTTGAAAATTTATCTTTGGAAAAAGGAATGAATATTTCTGATAGAATATGAACATAAAAAATGTTAAATTGATAAATAAAAAGTTCATGTTTAAAATAATTTGAGAGAGAGAGAGAGAGAGATTTTTGGGGTTTGGGGAAGAAGGAGTTTGAATTTTGGAGATGTGTGACGAGAGTGACACTTGAGGGGCCCTTCCTGGCAGGAACCCTAAAAATACGTCCTTTCTCTGTAGTAAGGATGGATTCCCACTGTAAAGTGTAAATTAATCCGGGATCGAAGGGTCTCCGCTTGTCCGTGGACCATTCAAAGCTCGCTCCTCCACCTCACTGTGGAAATTTGGCTTGATCCGGCCCAGCTCACACCCTTTTTAGTTTGTTCGCTTATATCTTGTTTGCCGGTTGCGTCCTGTTCATTGACTCGGTAATTCCAGGTGATTCTTATCGTCCATTTTTATCGTTGTTTGGTTGTCGGTGGGTGTTTCTTTCTTTGCTTACGAGTAATGCCGCTTTCGATGCGCCATTTTGTGTAGATCACTCACCTACCTGACGCCAAATCACGGAAAGATCACCTTTTTCGGGCATGTAATCCAGGAAATGTATCGCGGTTGTGCCGAAAATTGATTTTCGTATGTTCTGATGCTCAGTGAGGTGGGCGTCACTTCGTTTTTTTTTTTGGGTGGATTTTTGTAATATTTCTTGATGAGTTCATGCTTAGACTTGGGGACCTTGATCTTAGTTCTCTGTTCCGCTTTCCTTTCAATTTTTGTCTAAATTATGCCTGCTACATGCTGTCTTCGACATCCTCGTGTGGCTGACGATCAGCCTCGTTTTACTTAACATGAGCTTCATAGACTTCGAAATCACCTGTCTTGATTCTTGGGTCCACTTGGTCTCTACTCATCTATGCATGGCTTCTATAGTTTATGCCTAAAAAGAAAGACGAGTAATCATTGGTTGAGTTTGCATGCATTTTAACTTGTTCTTCAGTTATCTATTTTCTGCATGGTTTTCGATTTCATGAGGTTCTTTTCGTAGTGAGTTGTTCCCTTCATTGCCCTCAAAGTTAAGCAATTTGTAAATACTTGCCCTAGATGTAATTAATTCTATCTGTGTTACTAGTAACATCTGATTAGTTTAGTGAGCTCCTTAGATACTTCACAGTTATCCTCAATGCTACTTTCATTTTAATATCAAATTTGTAAATGCAAAACATGTGTATGGAATTATCATGAAGTAGTCGTCAATTTCATGCTCATCATGCTGCTCTTTCACCTACACCTGGTTTATACTACAAAACTATTGTCATATCTGTGAGTCTTATCTGCCAAATTTAGCCTGACTAAAATTGAATTAGGAACCCGTATTACAAAAGACATTGCATTTCTTGTCCCATCAATCAAGTCTTAGGGGGTGGTTTTTATGGTTCATATGGTGACATACAAATCTTTCTGATTCATCTCTACTTTGCTTATGTACACCACTTTGATCATTGAACCCCCACATGTTGCTATGTTCTTCGGTATTTCGGGCTGTCTTGTCCTTATACGATTGTGTCCAGCTGAGATAAGTCAATTTGTGGGCAGATGAAAATTTCGTTGCCAGAATTTTGAAACTTGAATCTATGAGTATCATACGTTGCTTGTTTCTTTTTGCCAGTTTCACTTACTCGTGGACGGACCTTCATCCTAAAATGGCAGCTTGTTATTGGTTAAACTCCTTATATTTACTTTCCATAAGCATCTGTGGTAGGAATATTGTCATTACATATCTCATCCTCAGAAATTTCATGATTGGACCTCATGTCAATCATATTTTCGTGCATTATGAAGACCCTATCAGCATTTTAATATGATGTTGGGTGTTGACCTTGGTGTAGAAAATGGACTTTCTTTGTTGCTATTTGCTATGCTGGGTCACTTATTTACGGAATTTGTAACTAGATGCTCTTTTTCATGTTCTGCATCTTCATCCTGACTAGATAGTTTATTTCCATGGACTCTTTCCTTTCTTCTTCCACCTTGTTTGCTTGATGCATAAGCAACATGAGTGGATCTAACTGAACAAAGGTGATGTCTTCCACATAGTGAATCTGCAAATGTGGGGAAGGAAACATTTGTAACGTGGCTTGGATGTCCTTGTTTTTCCGAAAGAAAAGAGGAGGGGGACTACAATTTAAAGCTTCACAAAGTAAGTACATTAGTTTGGGTTGCAAACACCAAAGAGTAGTATAGACTATAGAGCTTTTCTCCCCTGTACCTTGATCAATTTTTTGCTTGCTACAGTTTTGTTTAGCAGGCCAAATTGACTCTTGCAGATGCATGACTGGGCATTTGCCATGCTCATATTCTTTTGGTGTAAATGATTTTGTTATTAAAAACATTTAAATTTATTGTTCATGAAGCCCCTAGTCAATCTAATTTATCCTTTGAAGTCACTGTATGTCTTTTGTGAAGTTTTCTAGTTAGAATCCATTGGGATTGTTCTGGCATCATATTACCACCTGCAGATCAGTAAGATATAAATTTAACAGAATAATTAGAAGATACTCTAGGGGATGCAAAGGAATCAAATCATGTTTTGAGAGCCTAAATAGGTATTGTCTAAATAATGCGCTTTTAGAATCTTTACATAGCAATTTGAAGTTTGATAAGATGCAATATTTTGTATACTCAAACTAAATGTCAAAAATCTGTAATATTAACAATGTAAACTCTCATTTTATTGTTCATACATTAATTTGTTTCCTTTTTACTTAGACTACTGTTAATTGGTACCAGTTTGTTCTTGATTAAGCTTTTACAAGATCAGAGTTGATTGCATATCCTCAAGGTCCTCAATGATCATGTACTGACTTGATAGTGGTTTTGCATGCTTGTCAAGTATCTTTCTTGTCATGTAAGCATGAAAGCCTACAGTTGGTACTTAGGTTTTGCAAGTTGATGCTAGTCCTTTGAAGTTTGAAGTATATAGCTATAAGTTTTCTGGAGTAGAGGCTCAAAGTGTAGGTAGAAAAAATAATGCAGCAAAATTAACCATTTATTTGGGACATATATTTAATTTACCCCTTCAAATATTCACTTTCATGCATTTGAAAAAATCTTTGTTAATTGCTAGTTCTAGTATTCCTTGATTCTTATTTAAATTTTTTTGTTTTAGCTTCTGTGGTTTTAATCATAGACAACTTAAGTTTTTATGGTTTACTCATATCTATAATAACTCGTACATTTTAAAAAACGTAGCATATAATCCCCTTCCGTCAAGTCCGGGTTAACAGACGTTAAAGTTATGTGGTATGCTGACTTATAATAAACTATTAATATAACGACATGTATAATTTAAGTTTAAAAAAATATCTATTTTAACCCTTGTGGTTTTGATCATAAACCACTTAAGCCCTTATTGGTTTTGCTCGTGTCTAAAATAACCTCTATATTTTTAAAAATATAGCATATAAGTCCTTCCTATCAAATTTGAGTTTACATATGTTAGAGTCTGCTTACGTGGCATACTGACTCATAATAAACTATTAATATAATAACACGTGTAATTTAAATTTAAAATATTGAGACCACCATCAGTGGTATGAGGAGGTATCATCGTAGAAGCGACCACCAGTAGTAGCATCAAGTTGCTACTGCCTAGCAGGGTGTCGTACGCACGTAGCCTCTCCTGCGCTAACGATAAGCTCAGGAGCTTCCGCTCCTGCCTCAAGTGGATGTGCGACGACTAGTCCGACGCTAGGCATGCAATGGTCTCCTAGTTCCTCTTCCTCTTCCTGGGCGTCTTCATCCCCATCGCCTCTCACTTCGTCCTCTCCTGCGCCTGCACCCGTCGTGCCTACGACGTGTAGTCCAGCTCTCCCTCACCTCCGCCTCCGACCTCTCCTACCTCTGCCTCTCCGCCTTCGTCCACTGCTACGACCTCTTCCACTTCCTCTTCCTCGACAAGATAGACCTTTTTTTTAAACTTAAATTACACATGTCATTATATTAATGTTTTATTATGAGTCAACATGCTATGTAAGCAGACTTTAACATCTGTCAACTCGGGTTTGACGGGAGGGATTTATATGTTATGTTTTTAAAAATATAGGGATTATTTTAGACAAACAAAATCATAAGGGCTTACGTGTTTTATGACAAAAAACACAGGAGCTAAAATGGACTCCTTTTTAAAACTTAAATTACATGTGTTATTATATTAATAGTTTATTATGAGTCATCATATCACATAAGCAGATTCTAATGTCTGTTAACTCAGACTTGATAGGAGAGGCTTATATGCTATGTTTTTTAAAATGTAGGAGTTATTTTAGACATGAGTAAACCATAAGGGCTTAAGTGGTCTATGACCAAAACCACATGAGCCAATTTTCTTTAGAGAGGTCTTCGACAATAATTCACAAGTTTCATGAGTTCGTACTCTTTTTAGAGTTTTAATTGCTTTTTATCAATCATCTTGTTTTGAATGAAAATTATTAATTGTATCTGTCCCTTTCAATTGTTTGTTGTACAACCTTGTGTCTCTAGTACAATATTTTGTTGCAGCTTAGCTTTTTTTAACTTATAGTTTGACAGTGATGTTTCCTGTAGTTTAGGTATGTGCTAGTATGCAATGTATGTCAAATTTTCCTGGATTCTGGCCTTGTCGATCTGTGTACTTCAGTTGAGGTTTTAATTACAAGAGAATGTTGAAGACTTCTGTTGCTCCAAATGAACTTCACTTGAAGAGGGAGCTTGTTGCTCTCCGAAAGGCACCATTCTTACGTGATCCAGAAACTTGTTCATCCTGGAGGTCCTCTTTGAGTTCTAAATCATTTTTTGCAAACTCTAAGCCAAAAAATGGACATGGAATGATAGAAAAATTTACAGGAGAAATTAATCATGGCTCATTACTTAATTTACTATCCAGAGGTAAAAATGGAAGGCAAAAGTTACATCTCTGTAGTATGAGTTCTTCTAAGCCCATTGAAAGAGCACAGAAACTAGATGAGGAAGACAGAGAAGAATCAGCTAAGGAAAGTCCAGAAAACTTCAGCGTAAGCAATTCTCTTCTTGCAGAAGAAAGTCCAGAAAACTTCAGTTTAAGCAGTTCTCTCATTGTGGATTCTAAGAGTGATACTTGCCTTGAAGTTCCTGTAAACATGTATAATGTTGCAGCTATCGATTCAAGAATTCCTGTTAGAAGAACTATCAGAAAATTTAGAAGAAAATCAATTTCGAAAGGGGGATTGATTAAGCATTCAGCTGCCTTAAAGCTGCTGGATACAACATCAAGCTCTTTAGGAATTCTTGACTCAATTGAGGGATCTGATGACAGTGGGGACTATAATTCTGAGAATTTGCAGCATTTGGCACAGGATCTAAGCCAAAAAATTGGATTTATTTCTCGCTCTGCATCACCAATTTTACATGGATGTGGACATGGATGTCAGTTGTCTTCTTCAAGAATTCCTAGAACTAGTAAAAGAGTGGGATCATCTCAATCTTGTACTCCTGCTTCAAGTTGCTCTTACTACAAATATGGTGGTCAGGACCCCAGCACTATTGGTTCTTGGGATGGAACTGCTACTTCGTTTGATGGGGACGGCCTGGATCAACTAGAGTTACCAAAGGCTCAAAAATGTGGTATTCCTAGCTATTGGTCAAAGATAACTAGAGCTAGGGGTGGTGGAGGTTTTATTTCTCCTTCACTATCAGATACGCTAAAAAGAAAAGGCAGTAGCATTCTCTGTGGGAGTCAGACTTTGTCTAATAAGAAGAATTTATCAGGTTGTCACAAGCAAAATTACCTGTCAAAATCTTCTCAAGGTTTACCTTTGCTGACCAATAGCTGTGACGAAGGCCATTCATCATTAGATACTTCAAGTGATGAACTGTCAAGTAAATTTGGGGAGCTTGATTTGGAAGCGATGAGCCGTTTGAATGGGAGGAGATGGTCTAGCTGCAAAAGTCAAGAGGGACTGGAAATGGACCTACCTGGAAGAACTTCCTTGGAGATAGCAGATCAAAGAACCTTGAGCCAAAAGTACCAGCCACGGTCTTTTCATGAAATCGTTGGACAGAATATTGTTGTTCAATCTCTTGGTAATGCCATTTCAAGAGGAAAAATAGCTCCTGCTTACCTATTTCATGGTCCTCGTGGGACAGGAAAAACTTCATCTGCAAGAATATTTGCTGCAGCTTTAAATTGTCTTAGTGAAGAGAACAAGCCATGTTGGTTTTGTAGAGAATGCACTGCTTTTTCTAGTAGACATGGAACAAACTTTATAGAAGCCAATGCAACAAATAAGATGTGCATAGATCAAGTTAGATATTTGCTGAAAAGTCTATCAATGGCTAAAACAATTTCACAGTATAAAGTCTTTGTCATTGATGAATGCCACATGTTATCTTCACAAAATTGGTCCGCATTCATGAAATTTCTTGAAGAACCATTGCCTCGTGTTGTATTCATATTTATAACTACTGGAACAGGTAGCTTGCCTCGTGCCATTGTATCACGATGTCAAAAATACATCTTTTTGAAGGTCAAGGATGTTGATATAGTCTGCCGGTTGAGGACTCTCTCTGTAAAAGAAAATCTTGATATTGAACTGGATGCTCTAGATTTAATTGCTCTGAATTCGGATGGTTCACTTAGGGATGCAGAAATAATGTTGGATCAATTAAGTTTGCTGGGCAAAAGAATAACTACTTCGCTTGTAAATGACTTAGTGAGTTTGCTTCCACATTGTCTCTGTATCTACAGTCTTTTATGTTCAATTTCATTAAAATTAAGCATTTAAACATTGATATCTGTTTGACTTAGGGGCTTCATATATTGTTCTTGACTTTATATTTAATTAATAACTGTCTACATATATTGGAATTTGGAAATCATTTTTGACATCAAAATATGCATCTGTTATTTTGGACTTGAAAATGGAAATCTTTAGACATTGATGATAAGTCTTTTTAAGGCTCTTTGATTTTCTAAGTTGAGAGATTTTTTTTTGCCTTCTAAAGTACTAGTTTAATCAGCAAATGTTTGAACTTCTTATTTCTTGCATATCTTTTGTCTTATTTACAACTTTTCTTTTCATTTCTCACTTGATGTCATCTTTCTCAATGGATGCTTTGAGTTGTCAAATAGTGTTCAGCAAATCACTTCTGTTAAAATTTAAATTGTTCTAAACCTATTGATAGAACTTTTTCTTTGTGTATAATTTTCTTATGTTTGAATTAAAGTAATGTCAGCATTCTTATGCTTTTTCTTCTATTAGATTTAATAGGTTATGTTTCTTTTCTCCAATAAGCAAGTTATCTTATTATGAGAACTTACAGGTAGGAGTTGTGCCAGATGAGAAATTACTTGATCTTCTGGAGATAGCCATGTCATCAGATACTGCTGAAACGGTTAAAAGGTCTAGAGAGCTGATAAATTCTGGTGTTGATCCAATAGCCTTGATGTCCCAATTAGCTGGTCTTATAATGGACATAATTGCTGGAACTTACCGATTGGCAGACCTACATTCTGGTGGTACAACTCTTGGCGGGCGAAATTGTGAGTGCAACTGACAGATCATGTTCTTTTGTTCTTGCCATTCACTGGATGATGTTCAATCATATCTCTTGTTTCTCTACTTTTTATTGTACTAAATGCAATGCTTCAGGAGGGCTAACCGAATTGAGAACAATAACTATTTGCTATTACCATGTGATTCTTATTAGAAATGCTATATTTGTCAGATATCATGTCTTGATTTGCTTAGAATCTCGGAGGGGTAAGTGAACTAGAACACTGGAAGCATAAAAATTAGAAAGGATAGAAATTTTTACTTGAACAAGATATTCAATAAAACAGGAAAAACTGTGTGGCTGATTTAGTTCTGCTTCCGTTTCAACATCTTTTGCGGCTTTGCCAACGTATCAATTGTTCATGTGTTGGTGATTGAGATCCAACCTAGTCCTTCCTGCCTTCTGGTGATTGAGGCACTAGTATATAACTTCTCTTCTCTGAGTAGATGTGTTCCTTACTGCCAACTCGATTGACAAACATTTGGCAGCTGGCAGTGATCTTGATAATATAGAAAATGATGCTTGCTTATAGGTTCTTCCAGTCCCTTGATTATTATAGAGAATGCTTGCTTGAAGGTTCTTCCAGTATGTTCAGTTGCCATGTATTCATAACTGATGACTTTGTTGTATGCAATGATTTAAAAAGCACTAGGCGTCAAAAGACACTAAGATCAAAAAATGCCCGAAGCGTTAGGCGCTTGCTCGAGCAAAGCGAGATGCTAAAATATAAAAATATATATAATATAATTAATAAATATAATTATTTAAATAAAAATATGATATTAAATTAAGAAAATATTGTAAAATTACAATATCACATTAACAAAAAGTCTCAAAATTCAAAATGATAACAATAATTTCAAATAAATAAAAATTAATAGTATTAAAATAAAAAATATATATTATTAATCTAATAAATAAAAATACTGTTACTAGTATACAGTTAGTAGTATACTGTTAATATACTGTTAACAGTATACTATCGAAGTGAGAAGAGTATGAGTAAGAAGAAGATCGAGGCTGCTGATTAAGAGCAGCGACAGCGGTAGCAGCGAGCAGCGAGCGATGACAGTGGCAGCGGCAACGGTAGCAGCGAGCAGCGGCAGTGGCAGCGGTAGTAATGAGGAACGGAAGCGGGAGCTGCGATAGTGGCAGCGGTATCAGCGAGCAGCGGCAGCGGAAGTGGGAGCAGCGAGCAGGGTTAGGGTTGGGAAGTCGCGTGAGGAAGACTGATATCGCCTGAGCACCTAGGCGAGAGCCCGAGCACCTATTGAAATCACTGGTTGCATGTTAAATATTTTTGCCAATGTTTGGCACATGCTTGAGTCAAAAGCAGCATATTGGTTCAGGAGGGTTTCTACAGTATAAGATACCAGGCCCATTAAAAGCATGGTCAGTTATATTATGTTAAAGTTTATTGATGTAAAACTGGCCAATATTTTAGCTTCTCTCAATCAGTTAAGTATAGCTTGAGGAAATTAATGAGGAAATTAACTGTTATACATGAAGGTTATATATGACTTGCCATTGCAAGTCAGAGCCTGCTTAAGGGTTCTATGATGCAGTTCTCAACTGCCATATTATATCACAAAGTTTACTTACGTATTTTATGTTTGAAGGGGGAACCACTAAAATGTTATGAGATGGGCTAATACATGAGTAGGGAAGAATAAATACCTCAGTCGGGTGTAAGAAATTCATAAAAAGATCAGCTTTTGGCAGAGTAAAAAGGTGTGGAGCAGGATTCTACAAGACATTGTATCGATTTGGTTCTAGTATTGGTGAGCTGACTGGGTTTTTGTGTTTTTATACATAGTTTAGTGGGAAAAGTTGAAGATCATTATCATGAAAACGCCAAGCCAAAGAAAATTTTCCTGTTCATCACTTACGAGAATGTACCATGCAAGTGTAAGATTATTATTTAGGTAATATAGTAGGCTTAGTGTCCTAAGGAATCAATTTTATTTTTCAGATAATTTAATATACAGCTATTGATAGATAAAAATGTGCCCATGTTTACATGTTATAGGCAACAACTTACAGTAAAGTTTTGTCCAATTGTAGAGTTCTAATTTATAATTTGGTCTAGAAAAATAGTTACAAATATTTATTTCTTCTGAGCTTCATGCAGGAGTTTAGATATCTTATGTCTATAGCCAGGTATGTTAGGACATAATTGATTGTATTCTCATTTTCTGTAATGTTTAGTAGTTCATTAATTGTGACAACTTATTTTATGGATGACTCACTGTTAATGTTACGTTTGTGGTTTGATGATAATTTCATATGTTTATAAACTTTAAATTTGGTAAAACAAAAATCAGTATGGTTTTTCAGACCAGAAAGAATTGCTGACTGAACTAAATTGCTCCATTGATGTTGGATTGAATCTGTTCCTATTCTAGACTCGGAAAAACTTATTTCTTTGTAGCTAATTCTCGAGAGATTTGGTTCAAATTCCCCATGTCAAATTGGCTTTAATGTCCATGCCATTCAAAGCTCTTAACTCCACCTCCTGTAACATATACACAGTACACCTGTACCAACAATATATTACATACATTTCTCAGATTTTCATAAATATCACTAACTTTTTTTATTATACTGATGCTATCATGGTCTACACATTTAATATGGCTATACATCTTTAAGCAACAGTAAAGGTTCCTATCAAAAGTTTAAAGGTGGGAGGTGATACTCAAAGAAACCCTGTTACAAGGGCATGAAGAAAGCTTTGTGACAATAGGGGATTATATCACAGTCCGGTCAAATGAAGGGCCAACTTCTGATTTTTGTTACACATTATTCAATATCTGTTTACTGTTTTCCTGCTGATACAGGTCATAGAGTTCTCCTATTTCCTCTAAAGCATGTTAATTAGTTGCTTTCTTACTGTAAATTTTGTTGATGAGAAAGATTATCGGTCTTCTTCATTCTGTTCGTGATAATGGCCACTCATTAATATGGCACCGCTATGTTAACACAGAATCACAAAGATCATACCCAATCCACGAGGCTCCCACCAATGAGAGGTCTAAGGAGGGTCAATATATGCAGCCTTTCTCTAACTACACAAACTTTTTCCATGACTTGAAACATGTTCTCCCAAGTCACAAAGGAATACAAAATCACAATTTATTCATTTACATCTAACCAATCCATGTAATGTAATTTCTATTACAGAGGTTTATTCCATTTGAATTTCTTTTTTATTATTTATTTGTCACTCTGCATGAAGTTGGCCGTTCTTCTTTGAGTTCTGACTTTGTTTCATTTACCTCCAAACTGTTCCTAGTAACCGAAGCTGAGTTAGAAAGACTACAACTGGCATTAAAGATTCTTTCTGATGCTGAAAAGCAGCTAAGACATTCAAGTGAACGATCAACATGGTTTACTGCTGCTCTGCTACAGCTTGGTTCTGGTAATAATACAGAACCTAATAGATCAAGCAGCAGCAGCAGGCAGAGTGCTAGAAGAAAAAGTAATGGTGTGTCTGACATGGATAGTCTCTCCATGATGCACAAGAACAGGCAAGTTACTCAGTTTCAAGAATATAATTTTTGTTTCATATCCTACACTAACAACATATACTCTAATCCTTACATCGACTCGGCATATATGGCTAATTGTAAAGTGTTGCCTGCAAACAGGAGATCCCTTGACAGAATATTAGATAATTTTTCTCATACAAGTGATGCTACTGGTAAGGGAGAACTCAGGTCTATGACACCAGAAATGCTGAATGAGATATGGAATCTTTGCATCCATAGATGCCACTCAAACACACTGAGGCAGTTGCTTTCTGCCAACGGAAGACTTCTATCAATTTCTGAAAATGGAGGTAGGCAATGATTTTATCTGATGACTATTTTACCTCTTTTGTTTCATTATCTGTTCTTGACTTTCATATCAAACCTTGGTACTTGGTAACAGTCTATCATATATTAATTGTAGCCTGCTTGTTACATATCTGTGTGTAAGGCATCTCTTTCTGCTTCAATTGTTATTTCTGGAATATACGATCAAATTTCAAGTTAAAATGTTTTATGAAATATTCAGGCATTTTGTTATTTTTAAGATTGATGGTCATTTATTTAAAGGGATTACTTTTAGCAAACAGGTCAACTTGATTTAGGTGGCAATGTTCCCGACTATCCACAATGCACTTGAAAGTTCTGCATGCATCACATATGCCCTTCTTGGGAGATTTGGTAAACTAGGCAAAGGTCTATTGCATAACATTCATAATAAACTGATAGGAAACTACCTCTAGCAAAAAGGTATAGTCCAAATAGGAAGTTAATGAGTTTGTCAACATTTCATTATGAATTGTCAATATGTAACTTTATTAGTGAAATAGAGCTACATAAATATAAAAAGGATAATATTTCCCTGATCAGCTTTGGACAAGAGAGCGAGCCTTGATACAATGGTAAAATTGTTCCTTGAGGACCTAGGAGACCAATGTTTAAGTCCCGGAAACAACTTCTAAATAAGACTGTTTATGTGATCTCGAGAACCCAATTTATATCAAGGAACCTCATATATTGGGTTCTTGCTTTATTAGATCTCGAGAAATGTAGCTGCTTTGATATAAATTTATTGCCTCATAATAAAATTTTCAAGATGCATCATTCTGTCCTCTATATCTTCATAGACAGATTGTTTATGTGATTATGCATTATTATATTGTGAGATATGTGCCAGAAAATGTCAGTCTGGATGTAAGTGGCACATTCATCATCCAACTTTGGATATCGACAACTGATGAGCACATGTTGTATTGTATGTTTATTTTGAACAGTGTTGTATCCTTTGAGATATGTAAAGACTTGTTATACCAAGCTTAATTGTTGCATGCAGTTCACTCTAGGGAATTATGTGCTCCTAAATCTTCAGCAGAAAGTATCTTAGGGAGTCAAATTTCCATCTGTACTCTACCATCTCTGGGAATGTATACTCCTAAAATCTTTCAGAGAATGTAGCATTTGCTGGTCCGACTCTGTATTGGCACATGGTATACCAATTATGCCTAGGTAATACTGAAGTTGAAGAAACCAGTTGGACTGGTATATACCGATCAGTATTTACCAGTTAAACCTGGTTCTGGCATGTAAATCACCAGGTCCAGTTTGAAATCAAAGTTTTTTAATTTTTGGAATTTGAACAGCTGAAAACAACTGCTAATCTCTCTCTCTCTCTCTCTCTCTCTCTCTCTCTCTCTCTCTCTCTCTCCTTGCCCCAATTGTGATGATCCCTTCTCTGTTCTCTCAACAGCTTTCTCTTCAGGCAAGCTGCTGGTACACCTCATATACAGGGACCCCCATAGGTCCAGTTAGTGACCAGTATGGGTCTCGGACGGAATTTGAAACTACATGTTAGCCATTCTTTTTGACCAATTTTCTCAGCGGTAAACCATGGTGTGCTGTATCATTCAAAGGTCCTCCTTTGGTAACTATTAAGAGGATGGTGCATACCAGCATAGTTGTTGCTTTGTCACATGATGACATTTTCTCTACTCCAGCCTTGTATATTTCACATTTATTTTCCTCAACCTTTATGAATCAGGTGTGCGGCACCAATTTGAGTTGACACTGGGTTCCTACAAACTCTATTGATCATTTTGGTAGTGGTGTCTTAGATGTATGTTTTCCCTAGTATTATATTCACTTCATTATCTTTATTTAAGTTAAATTATGCACTCTATTTCATTTATATGAAGATTTTGATTTGCAACTAGAAATTTAAAATTTGATGAGCAAACGTGAAATCAAGTATCCACGTTCTGTGACATACCACACCCCCTTATCCATGTTCAATAACACAGCCTCTAAAGTTTATTTAGTTTTAAACTCCATTACATGTATCTCCATATGAGGTTCAAAATATGAACTACCTATGATTATAGTGCCCTCAATTGAAGAATCCTGACTTCGTCCCTGCATATTGCAATGAAAACTAATAAAAAAAATGGTTCTACCTTACGTCCTCATTTTTATTTCACAAAATCTTTCCAAGCTAGCTTTTTTTCTTGGAAACTAGATTGCTGAATTAATGTTCCTTGTCATAATGAAATCTCTTTGGTTATGAGAAGGACCTTTACTACCTTTTGGCAGGCATATTGATTGCTTTCATTGGATTTGAGGATAGTGTTACAAAATCCAGAGCTGAGAGATTTCTGAGCAGCATCACAAACTCAATGGAGATAGTCTTGGGATACAATGTAGAAGTTAGAATGGCACTTCTACCCAAAGTTCATTCTGATGTATTACAATCAGAGCCATCTCTAGCAAGCAACCAAATGGAAAAAGATAAGCAAAGAGAGGCAAGATCTGATAACCTTATTAGCCATCCCAATATAGGAAAGATCAAAGGAAGCAAAATTCTGGATTCCTGTGAAGGAAATCCAGAAAGTGCCCATGAGAAAACTGACATATCTGCACTTGGAGAAATGGACTATGTACAGACAAGTGTACCAGTATTAGATGGTTCATGTAACAGTAATGATAAAGGTCAGGGGATTTTAGCCCAAAGGCCTCTAAAAGCAGCTACTGATGAGCAGAGGTTGGAGACTGCATGGCTTCAAACTGCAGAGCCTGGATATGTAAGTCAGCCAAAGCCTGATAAGAACCAAATTCTTCCACAGAATGGAGTAAACCATCTGAGTAGTAAACAATCTTTGACAACAACGCCGAAATCATTAAAGAATTGGGATGATGAATTGGTTCAAGGGATCAAAGCTTTAAGAACCAGTGCCACTGAGGGCCATCACAAGGAACAGTATGAAAGAGCCGATCACTATGCCATTTCTCCAAGTTTATTGCACTGTTACAAGACAGGCAACTCTGAGAAGCAGAAGATGTAAGTTTTTTGCTTTCAGTAAATATATTTAAGAAAGTGTAGATATCCAGTTCTGCATATTATTACCTGAGATGTTAGGACAGAAAATTTGGTGAATTATTTACACAAGAGTTTTAGATGAAATTGTTTTCCACATATCTGACAATAGTTTTGGAGGCTTTTTTCTATTTTTAAGTTCCTTATGCAGTTGATGAATTTGTGACTTTTGCAGAGTTCACTCTTTTAATCTCTATAGAGGGTGGGCATCATGTGCATATCAGAGCCATCCATCTGTTGATCTTTCATTTATCTGTTGTTTTTGTTACTGTGTTATCTTAGTACAAGAAAGGGATACTTGATTCTTAATTAAAGTATGACTAATGGGTAAAATTTGTATGTGAATTACTTATCATGGCATCCTAATATGGATAGAAAAGAACAAGTTGTTGTAAAACCTTTGCAGTTGTAGGTGATTGGTTGATCTTGATGAATTTTCTTTTCCTCTCTTGATCTGAACCGTGGTCTAAAATAACATTTCTGGGCTAATTTAGAGCTTGTTTCTTAATGAGTAAGAAGATATTTTGTTATGGAAAATGTTAAGCATTATCATTTCTTTTGGTGTCATGTAATAACATTAATATACAGAAATGACAAAGTGATTCAGTCTAGCTTGATGTAGTCCATTTCTTTCACATCAATCTAAATTGCTATACTGCATTCCAGGGGATATGAATCAGGACCTGGTTGCAATGGGATTCTCTGTTGGAAAAACCCCAAAAGCCGTGGAAGAAAGGTTGCAATTGGATCTTGTTTTCTTTTTCTCATCTATGAGCTTTTTAGAGTTTTAAAAACTTAGCCTTCCAATTCTGTGACAATCAGGTAAAGCAGGGAATCCATCTAAGGTCACCAAGGGTTAGTCGGGCTCATCGACTCTCATTGTTTGGGCAGTGTGTGAAGCTGAAGTCAGCAGAAGACAGGTTGAGCAAATGAATGGGAGAAATTTGCAGATTTTACGCCTCAGTGAGTACATTCTCATACCATTTGTGTCCAATTGCCTTTCTATTATTCAAATATAACAAGAACTGTGATGTCCCAACTATCTGGGGTCAGCTACTTGGATCTTATCTTGCCAGCAAGCTCAACAGCAAGCCTTTTCATTCTATGAGTACAAAGGTAACTTAGATGAGCCATTTTGTCCTAATCAGTACTAAGTTGAAGCATTTGTTATGAGAAATATTATCGGCTTGCAATGAATCGGGCAACTGCTTCAATGATTCACCTCAGTGCTCCTGGTTAATCTGCTTTTTTCTTGAAGAACAATTTATTTTCTGAGCTGATAGAAGATTTCATAGTCCTAAACCAATGAATTTCTGTTATACTCTTTTTTCCTTTGGTATCTTGTCAGACATCAAAATTACCACATAATCACTGAGATGAGAATCAAGTATCTTTATCATGCTAGCAGGAACAAATAAGAGCTTGTCTAATAGTGTCAAGCATTGTTATTCCCATTGGTTCATATTGTAAAAGATGAAACGTTTCATAGAAAGATGGCACAGCATGATGTGTGCCGAAGGTGCCACCATCTGGTTAGACCAATTTTTGTGTTGGCGAGTATGACACTTCATACTTTGTCAGAAAATTATTGGCACACAACAGTGCCATGACATAGGATTACTTGAGCATATTTGTTTTGCATAACATTTTTGTTGATCTAGTGATCTACATCGACATTATGATCATGTACATTTTATTTGTAGTTTTTTTAGTTAATTTTCATATATTTAACTGAAAGTATTGGAAAAATATTCCAGTTCATACTTTGACAAAAGTATCAGAGCACCATTACTTGAATGGTATCATATTCACTGATCTATATCAATGTTATGATCATTTTCACTTTACAGTGTAGTTCTTTCAATTAATACGTATACAATATACCTTATGGTAAACTAATTCAAGTGATACCAACCTGCTCTTGTTAGGCCATCAAGTATTTCCCCAGATTTTGTTCTTCTAGTGCATGATGAAGGCCCTGGAATTATGCTTCTCTATCAGATTTATCTAAAGATTAGTTTTAGCAGTTGATTTTTTTGTGGATGATATGCATATCATTGTTCACTTGTTGATCATGAGTATCTTTATTCAATTGGCTGAGGTAATTTTGTGGTGATCTTGTATATAATTTCCTGATAACCTTCACCAGAAAAAAAAGAGGATAGTTTACATTGTCATGATCTGCCATGCCCTTTAGACATTGAACACAAAACTACAAGTTTTGGTGAAATAGTTATATATATATATATATATATATATATATATATATATATATATATATATATAT